TCTCTCTCTCTCTCTCTCTCTCTCTCTTTCTGTCTCTCCCTGTTTCTCTCTCTCTCTCTCAGTAATAAATTATAAACATTAAAGTTTTTAAAAAAGATTTCATTTTTTTTTTAAAGTAATTTCTACACCCAACATGGGGCTCAAACTCACAACCCTGAGATCAAGAGTCACATGCTCCCCTGACAGAACCCGCCCGGCACTCCTGTAGATGTATTCTGGAGACCTTGTCAATTTGTGGACATATTTTAAACCAGCATAGTAATCCCATTTTTAAACCTTTAATGGAAGGATAATATAAACAGGAAAGTTCGCAAATTAAAAGTATATGACAAATTATCATAAAATGGACCTGTGTTTCCAATCACAACCAAGATAAGCTGAACCTGACTAGCACCCACTGAAGCCCCCATCATGTCCCCTCCCAATCACTACCCTTTCTGTACACCCAACATTCAACTTCTATTCTTCTAACACCATTGCAATAACATAAGGAAAGAAGTACAAAGATAGAGAATAAAGGAAATTATCATTATTTCTAGATGCTATATAATTGCACACATAGGGAATCAGAGAACCCAAAGGAATCTATCTATAAATTATTAAAAATTAGTTTTGGGATGCATGGCTGGCACGGTTGGTAGAACATCCACTTTTTCTTTTTTTTTTAATATTTTTGAGACAGACGGCACAAGTAGGGTTGGGGCAAAGTGAGAGGGATATAAAGAATCTAAAAGCGGGATGCAGGCTCTGATCTGTCAGCACAGAGCCCGATGCGGGGCGTGGGCTCAAACTCGTGAATGGCAACATCATGATCTGAGCCGAAGTCACACTCAACCGATTAAGCCACCCAGGCGCCCTGAGCATCCTTGACCTAAGGGTCATGAGTTCAAGCACCACACTGGGCGTGGAGCCTACTTAAAAAAAAAAAAAGAAAAGAAAAGAAAGAAAGAAAAACAAAAAAAAGGGCAGAGTTAAGGTCAGTTCAGGGGTGCCTAGTTGGATCAGTCAGAGGAGCATGTGACTGTTGATCTCAGAGTGATGAGTTTGAGCCCCACATTGGGTCTAGAGATTACTGAAAAAATCTTGGAGAGTCTGGCTGGCTCAGTCGGTTGAGCCTCCAACTTTGGCTCAGGTCACGATTTCACCCTTCGAGAGTTCGAGCCCCGCATCGGGCTCTGTGCTGACAGCTCGGAGCCTGGAGCCTGCTTCGGATTCTGTGTCTCCTTCTCTCTGCCCCTCCCCTGCTCATGCTCACCCTCACTCTGTCTCTCTCTGAAATAATAAATGAATAAACTTTAAAAAATCATTTAAAACAATCTTTAAAAAATAAGAAAAAAAAATCTTAAAATCAGTGTGTTTAACGAGGAAGCTTAAACAAAAGGTGAACATAAGAAAATACATTTATTTCTGCATGCCAGTGATAAAAGGTTAAAAAATGAAGACGAAAATTTTAAGATACTATTTACTTCTCCCCAATTGATTTATAGATAAAAGCTAGTAGATGTGAGATTTTTAAAAGTGGCTTCTTTTGGGGCGCCTGGGTGGCCCAGTTGGTTGAGCGTCCAACTCTTGATTTTGGTTCAGGTCATGATCTCACAGTTCATGAGTTCGAGACCTACGTTGGCTTAGGCTTCTCTCTCTCCCTCTCTCTGCCCCTCCCCTGCTCATACTGTCTCTCTCTCTCAAAATAAAATGTTGTACCCACAACATGATGGGAACCGGGGGATCTAGAAACGCTCAGAGAGGGGTGCCTGGGTGGCTCAGTCGGTTGATCTTAGCGTGGAGCCTGCTTGGGATTCTCTCTGTCTCTCCTTCCCTGATCATGTGTGTGTGCTCTCTCTCAAAATAAAAATATAAATCGGTAAATACATAAATAACCCCTCAGAGAATGAATAATTATTCTCATTTTACAGAGTGCTATAGACTATATGTTTATTTCCACCAGAATCCATAGGTGGAAGTCCTAATGCCCAATGTGATCACATTTGGAGTGGGGGCTGCTAGGAGGTCGAGATGAGGCCATAAGTATGAACCCCATGATGGGATTCATTTATTTATGTATTTTATTTACTTACTTATTTACTTATTTATTTATGTATTTATGATTCTACTTTTTTTTTTAAGTTTTATTTATTTTGAGAGGGATAGAGACAGCACGAGTGGGGAAGAGGCAGAGAAAGAGGGGGAGAGAGAGAGAATCCCATGCAGGCTCCGTGATGTCAGCACTGAGCCCAATGTGGGGCTCGATCTCACGGATCGTGAGATCAGGACCTGAGCCGAAATCAAGAGTCAGGCACTTCACTGACTGAGCCGCCAGCTTCTACTTTTAAGCAATCTCTACACCCAACGTGGGACTTGATCGTGAGATCAAAAGTTGCAGGCTCTGCCAGCTGAGCCAGCCAGCACCCCAGGATTAGTGCCCTTTAAGAAGAGACCCAATCCCCTCCCTTTCTTTCCCTTCCCCTCTATTCCTTCCTTTCCCTCCCCTCCCCCATCTTCCCTTTCCTTCTCTCTCTCTCTCTCTTTCTCTCCCCACTCACCACGTGAGGACACAGAAAGAAGGCAACCATTTGCAAACGAGGGAGCAGACACCAAATCTTCGGCTTTGATCTTGGACTTCCCAGACTCCAGAACTTCGCGATATAGATGTCTGTTGTCTAAGCTGTCTGATCTATGGTATTTTGTTATCTCCACCAGAACTGACTAAGATACAAAGGAAGACGGAAGGCCACAGAGGATGAGTTATTTACACAGGGATACACAGTTACTGAGTGAAAGAACTGTTCCTATTGAAACATATTTGTCTGCCCCCAAGCCCTTTCTACATTCCTCCTAGAGACCATGTGTTCCGGGATAACTGTAATCCGCTTTTCTACCTCTGTTTCCTGAAGACACTCTTGACCCCAAGAACATAGCAACTACTTTGAACATTTGATGTAGGGGTTGGTTGCATGGGTGATGAGGAGGTAAGGGGCCAAAAGAGGATGAAACCACAGATTAGCATCAGCACGAGGCCACAACCACCCCTAGGCTGGAAGGACAAACAGAGGAGGTGGTGATGTCCAGGGACTGAGGTCACCTGGTGGAAGCAGGTCTCTCTAGTCTGAGCCTTGGCCGCCTCCAGAGAAGCAGAGAGGGAGTACAGGAAATGCCCTGTGTCTATCACGTCAGTCTATCTCCTGCCTGGGCCTCCCATTGGTTGAAGCCAGCGGAAAGCTGCTTGGCACAGAGGGCTGGGGAACAGAGCCTACAGGGTCACCCTCTGTGCTACAGGACAGATGACGAAAACGGTGAAGAAACAGATCAGGTGTCAAACAAGCTCAGAACTGGTGCGTGAATGTTGTTTAAAATGCTTATTAGACATCCAGAAGGAGATACCGAGTGGGGCAGTTGAGACTTGAGTTAAGGAGAGACGTAGGGTCTGGTTACAGAAACCTGGAAACCATGGACACAGAGGTAGTAGCTGAAGATCTCACGGTCTGTGAGTTCAAGCCCAGCATCAGGTTCACTGCTGTCGTGCAGAGTCCCCTTCGGATCCTCTGTCCTCTTTTCTCGCTGCCCCTCCCCCACTCACCCTCTCTCCAAAATAAATTTTTTTTTTAATTTTTTTTTAACGTTTTATTTATTTTTGAGACAGAGAGAGAGAGAGAGACAGAGCATGAA